TCAAACTAAACAACTTGAGCATTATTTTGTTCAAAATTCAAGAAAACATTTTCATTGGTACATTGCAGCAACGTTTTCTGCTAGACGCCTACGGAAGAAAATAGAATGGGGGATGTTATTAAAGTCAGAAAACACTAGAAATTAGCGGGACAATAATTCACCACTAACTTGGCATTTTCATTTTCAGTTTATCTACCGAGCAAGCAGTCATTATATCCATTTTTGAAGTTGAATTTAAATCATCCGTATTGTGCAGTCGTTTTGCTTCGCTAGGCCGCTGAAGCGCGCACTGGGGACACCAACAGAAAGAAATACTTCCTGCATTGCTCCCACAAGGGGAAAGACGAAACTTAAGTCAACTCAAGGGAGGCGGACGCATGAGAAACGTTGTAGACAATTGTAAGAAATTCACTCTTCGGGTAGACAGCGGGGGATTTCAAAGTGATCGTCACTATTTCCGCCACCAGTTTGAAATCTTGACAGAAGTTTTTAGTAAGAGGACCGAGAGGACGGAGGGAAAGCGTTCGGGAATCCACTGCACTCTGTTTATGTGTCCGAGGGGATGTCGTCGTCGGGCTGCTCGGGGCGGCGGCGTCGTGTCCCATTTGTAACCGGGCTTCGCCGGGCTTCGCCGGGCTTCGCCGGGCTGTGTCGTGATTGGCTCGGAGGCGTCAACCCGCGCCTCGACGGCGTGGCTCCGCTTGGCTCGGTGTGGCGGTCTCTTACTGACCGCTTGCCTGCCGGGGCTGTGCCCTTTGTGCGCGCCAGGGTCAACGGGAAGGGGAGGGCAACTGTTTTCGAAGCTTCAGTTTCAAAGTTGTAATTTCTTGGGTCTCTCGCGCGCACAGAGAAACGGACGGAGACATACTAACAGCGTTTTAGTGGCTACATTCCACCGTTCTTCCCTGGTTCTCCCTCTCAGCCTTCCCCCTCTCGCCCGCCCCGCCCGGCTGCCGTGTCCCCCGCAGAGCGCGCGCGCTGCCCGCCACACCTCGGGCCGCTGTAAGCTGCCCTGTTTGTCTAATTAATGTAGTCATTTGCCGTCGAGCATCGCGCCTCTATCGCGCGGTGCGCGCGGGATACCAGTGCGAGGGCTGGCTTACCCTTTGTGTGTGCCTCATCCTTTCGGTTAGCTGTAAACTCACAACACAAGTCGCAGTTCAGTGCTTTTTCATCAGATGAAAAATTAGTCCTTTCAACAAAATAGATGCAAATGTCTTTCAAATCGAAGCAAAAGAGAACATTTTTTTTTCGAAACCTAATGATGTTCTTCATGCAAATCATTAGCGCCGAAGCAAAGAGGTGCTGCCTGCATTCTTGCCTTTTGTTTCACTGCTGCTTTCATTTCCGCCTTGTTGTGCGGCACCAACAAATAATTTGGGGACTTTCTTTACTGCGCTTCCCCGCTGCATCGGAACGTGTGGCGCGCGCTTCTTTTGTTTCTGCCGATTGTTTATCTCCATCGCGGTCGTGTTCGCACACGCGGCTAATTAGATTTCCATGACCCGAATGGACAAATTTGAATCCGGCACACCATTAAATTTGTGCGCGACGCACGAAGTGAGATGGGAGATAAAATTAAGGTGTGCGCCGCCGTGTGGTGCACGTCGATTTGCATTATTCGGGTTTTATATGCTTGGGAACGGCTGTTCATCTCTGTTTCCCTGCTTTATTTTCAAATTTATTGTCATGACCCTGCTGTATTGCTCACTGTTATCATACTTTTAGCTGTTGGCATTTGCTTCTTCTACTTGCTATAGAGCATCAACAGCCAGAATATTGATCAAAAAGAGTGTCTAGAAGTATTTGGATACTGCAGGCTGGGAAGGACCCGGGAGAGAGGGACAAAGACAGCTAAAGAAAAAAGGGAGAGGAGAGGTGCCGTGCACATGCAGATGCAGACTACTACTGGCAAACTGCTTCCTTCCGCAAAATAATTTGAATAAAGGGGCAAAGGTCGTGTCGCGGGGCGTGGCCCGGCGTGGTGTCATTACGGCCCGTGCGTGTTGGCTTTGATTCCTAGAAGACGTTGCCCTGGCCTGTGCTCTTTTGTGTTTTGCATCGCTTGGTTTAATTTCTTTGCCTTTTGCATTCGCTTAGCGCCACAAGCGAGCGATTCAATCGGTAATTTATTCGGAAGAGCACAACATCTTATTGCCCGACGTGGCCCGGCCCGCCCCGCCCTTCCTGGGCCTCTGGCCCGCTGGCCAGGACGGCCGTGTCCCTCTCTCCCACAGGTTGCTACGCGCCGGTCATCCGCGGAATACAAACGTGATTTCGCTATTTATTGCCGTATAAGGTTTTGGCGGGTTTCTGATTGTGCACGCGGGATCGGGCAGCGATGGGAAGTGCCGGAGAGCCGGTCGAGTGTTGTAACGCACTTGCCAAAC